TATATGAAGTTCTACTGGGTTTATATGAAGTTCTACTGGGTTTATATTATGTTTTACAGGGTTTATATGGAGTTCTACTAGGTTTGTATTAAGTCATACTGGGTTTATATGAAGTTACTGGGTTTATATTACGTTTTACTGTGTTTGCATCGAGCTTTACTGGGTTTATATGGAGTTCTACTGGGTTTGTATGGAGTTCTACTGGGTTTTTATTAAGTTATACTGGGTTTGTATTGAGCTTTACAGGGTTTATATGGAGTTCTACTGGGTTCTCTGAGTTAAATCCCACTGTACGTGTTGCCTTCAGGGTCTTATTCGATGCTCTGTAACTTTGATCCCCCAGATGGGCGCGGGGCTCCGCCCCTCCTTCTCTCAGATCGTGGTGGAGCTGCGGAGGCAGTCGGGCGCCGGGCGCCGTCCCCCAGAGGCTCTGGCCGGAGGTGAGAGGCGTTCAGGGTCCCGTACGAGTGTCGGACGTCTGTACGCTCAGTGCTCTGACTAGGGTTGTCACTAAAAATACTAAAATTTTCAACTCGATACCGATACTCAGGAAAATACTCTATACCATTTTCGATACCACAAGGATAAAAACAAAGACCCCAAAATTTTACTGAATTTTGACAGGTTAGTGTCTTTTATTTCAAACTGACCTGTTACTGATGTTATCGTGACCCACATTCATGACCCTAAACCTAACCCTAACCCTCCAGCCTTCGTAATTGTGAGAAAGAAATATTTTTTGGTTAAACTTGTTTGGACTTATTGTACAAACCTATTTAACATACACTATTTTAACAGAATATTATGGATAGAGTTTAATTAAGTGTTTGCAAGATTCATTTCACTATTTTTAAATTAATGTCTGTATTGCCATGAGGCAATTAGGATTTTCTTGCCTGGGATCTTCCTATTGGTGACCTAATCAAAATGACCGATTTGCATGTGGGCGGAGTTAGATATGTACTTGATTAATTTTAGCATGTTATTATTAGCTATTTGCCGCAGCTAGCAGTTCAAGGCTAACGTCTAGTTAATGATCATAAACAACGTAAATAAATACATAAATAAATCAGAGAGAAGGGGGGGTATAGATACTTTTGAAAATGAGTATCGTATCCGGATACAACATTTTAGTATCGATACTTTTGACAACCCTGACTCTCTGTTCTGCTCTGGTTTATATTCCAGCCGCCCCCCCGTTGGTGGACCCGTCTCGCCGGCGGTCCCTGTGCCTCCTGTTGGACCCCCGTCTCTCCCGGAGCAAGTCGGACATGCTCCGCCCCCCGGAGACGCCGTCGCCGGGCGCCGTTGCCATGGCGCCGCCCGCCCGGGTCAACCCCTTCTCGCAGCGCGAGGACCTCAAGGGGGGCAAGATCAAGCTGTTCGACACGCCCAGCAAGTCGGTCATCTCGCTGACCTTCGCGCTGCCGCCGCCGCCATATTGCGAGGCGTTGCCGTCGGCGACGCACGCCGCCGCCGGCGACCCGTCCCGGAGGCACCGGCGCTGCCACTCGCTGCCCTGCACCCCCCCGCCGCACCTCACGGCGCCGCCGGCCGGCCTGGAGGAGGCGTCGGAGGGGTTGGAGGCGTTGGAGGCGGAGCCTAGCAGCTCGCCAAATAACGGCGAGGGGCGCCGGCGAATGGCGTGCGACTCGGGGCTGCCGCCATCGCTAGACCTGGACCAGGATCAAGATCTGGATCAGGATCTGGACCAGGACCAGGAGGAGCCGATGGACTGCAGCAGCTCCCCGGACACGCAGGACCTGAGCTCGCCGTCCCGCTCCTCGCCGGCGTGCTCCTCCTCCTCGCCGCCGTTGCCGTTGGCGCCCTCCCACTCCTCCACGCCGTTTTCCAACGGTTGGGGTTCGGCCATTTCCAACGGGCCCCCCTCCCTCCCGCCGCTTGCCCGTCTGGACAACCGGGAAACCCGTCCTCTGAACTGGAGCGCCGTTGGTGTTGTTGGTGGTGTTGTTGGTGGCGTTGCCGTTGGCAACAACAATGGCTTCCACTCGCCCCCGTCGCCCGGCGACCCGGCAGGCTCCTCCCCCTTCGGCTCGGGCAGTGGCCTCTCCCTGGACCAGGAGGAGGTGGTTTCCTGCCCCGGCTGCTGCCTGGCGGGTTTCCGGTTCCCGTCCGTGTGTCTGCGGGCGCCGCCCCGCCGGAACCGCTACAAGAACCTCAACGGCGAGCACGCCGCCGCCGCCGCCGCCAACCGCGGGCTGCTCTGCACGCCGCCGCCCAGGGGGGCGCCACCGCCGCCGTCACCGTCCCCGCCGCCGTCGCCCGGCAACAGCAGCAGCGGCGGCCTGGAGCCCCGGCTCCGCCTCTAGCTGGGACTATAGATGGGGTTCCGCCCTTTAGTTGGGCTCCGCCTCCAGAAGTGGCTCCACCTTTAGCCTGGAGCTGGGGCTGTAGTTGTGGCTCCGCCTCTATCTGGGACTCCGCCCTCTGGCCAGGGCTCTAGCTAAGGCTCCGCCCTCTAGTTGTGGCTCCGCCCCCAGACGTGGCTCCGCCTCTAGCTGGGGCTCTGCCTTCTTGCCGGACTCCGCCCTCTAGATGGGGTCCGCCTGGAAACGGGGCTTTAGCCAAAGCTCCGCCTCTAGTTGTGGCTCCGCCCTCTAGTTGTGGCTCCGCCTCTATCTGGGACTCTAGATGGGGCTCCGCCTTTAGCCTGGAAACGGGGCTTTAGCCAATGCTCCGCCTCTAGTTGGGGCTCCGCCCTCTATCTGGGACTCCGCCTCTAGCCGGGGCTTTAGATGGGGTCCCACCTCTAGCCTGGAGCTGGGCTCCGCCCTCTAGCTGTGCCCCTGGCTCCAGACGTGGCTCCACCTCTAGCTGAGCTCCGCCCTCTATCTGGGACTCCGCCCTCTAGTTTGGGCTCCGCCTCTAGTTGTGGCTCCGCCTTGTAGCTGTGGCTCTGCCCTCTAGCCGGGGCTCCGCCCTCTAGTTGGGACTCTAGATGGGGCTTCGCCTTTAGCCTGGAAACGGGGCTTTAGCCAAGGCTCCGCCCTCTAACTTGCGCTCCACCCACTAGGCGGGGCTCCGCCTCTAGTTGAAGCTCTAGATGGGGCTCCTCCCTGGAAACCAAGCGGGTCTTCTTCTTAAGATTTTGCACAGATTTTAACGCAGCAATACTCTGCTTCTGTTTGTTTGTCTGTTTGTTTGTTTGTTTGTTTGTTTGTTTGTTTGTCTGTTTGTTTGTTTGTTTGAGGTCCCGACACACTGCCGGGCTTAGAGCAGCGGCTGCTTCCTGCTGGACGCTTTGGCTCTGGCGCCCTCTGCTGGACTGAGGGCTTTGTAGCCTCCTTTGGGCCTGTGGGGGCCTCTGGGGACCTGTGGGGGCCTCTGGGGACCTGTGGGGGCCTCTGGGGCCCTGTGGGCCCTCTGTGGGCCTGTGGGGGACCTCTGGAGGCCTGTGGACCTGTGCGGACCTTCGGGGGCCTGTTGGCCTTTGGGGGGCCTATGGGTGCTTTGGGTCCTTCTGGGGGCCTGGAGGGGCTTCTGGAGGCCTCTGGACCTGTGGGTCCCCTCTGGGGTCCTTTGGGGGCCTGTTGGCCTTTGGAAGGCCTGTGAGGGACCTCTGGAGGCCTGTGGACCTGTGGGGACCTTTGGGGTCCCTGTTGGCCTTTGGGGGCCCTGTGGGTCCTTTTGGGCCCTTTGGGGGGCCTGTGGGCCCTCTTGGGCCCTTTGTGGGCCCTGTGGGTCCTCTTTGGGGACTTTTGGGGGTCCTGTGGGCCTAAGGGGGGCCTCTGGAGGCCTGTGGACCTATGGGCCCTCTATGGGGACCTTTGGGGGCCTGTGGACTTGTGGGGACCTTTGGGGGCCTTTAGGGCCCTGTGGGCCGAGTCCAGACCTGTCCAGCATGCGGCCCCTCCGGTTTTGGGACCCCTTCCGTGTAAATTTGTGGCTGTAGAGATTTGTGACGCCGGATGAAAGCGGCGGCGCTGAAACGAGGAATGTTTAGTATTAAAACGGTGGATGATTGTGTTGGATGTTCGGTGCTGCTTCTGAATAAACGGGCCGTTTTTACTTTGATGTCTCTAACCCTGAAAACACGAAAACGGATGTTCTGAGACCTATTTCTGTTGCTGTATGTCCTTTGTTGAACTTTATTTTTGCCTGTTAAGCACTTCAGCCGTATTACTGTAACGAGAAAAAAAACGTTTATCATTATATTTGGGAATGAATGTTCAAAGACTTGCTTCAAAGAGATGTACAGATTCTTATTATTATTTAAAATGGCATTGAATAAAAAGATGGAATGCACCGTTGTTCTACGAATGTGTTCGCTTTTTTCTGTGTGTTACGTTAGCTTAGCACGCTGAATTACAGAAATCTCTGGTTCAAATTCTCACCAGACTTCGTGTTGCAGTTAGTGCTGCTGATTGGCTAATGCTAGCATGCTAATTAGCTAAAGTCAAAGGGTAAATTTAGCTAAATATACTTGGAATAATTTAGCATTGTAGGTTCAAGCTAATTAGCAAGATTTGAGCCCGATTAGCATAACATGTTAGCATAGCCTTTTAGTTAAGTTTGTCAACAAGTTATAACTTGATTATCAACATCATGTTAGCATAGCATAAACTTTTTTGGCTAGAAAAACTGGTTCATAAAACATTTATTAGCATTATAAACCAACATCACATTAAATGGTTGCTTAGTTTAAATGCTAAGCTAGCATCACACGAGAAAATCTTTGTTTTAAAGTAAACGCTAAATATGGTTACATTTTCAAAGGAAGTTATTGAAAAATACTTTTTTATGAAGGCTAAGCTAGCTTCTACAACCTTTTCTGGGTACTTGTTATCTATTTTAACACATGGAAAAGTTTAATGGACCTGGACTGGTTCCTCAGAGGGCAACTTAAAAACTCCTCAAGAGAGTTTAGTTTTAGATATTTGTCAGAAAATCAGAGCATATTTCTGCTAGAAAAGCATTAACAAGAAAATGGCTGAAGCCTTCAGGGAAAACTGGTACGATTTAAATCCTGATATTGACAAAATGGAAAAGCAAGATCTCCTTAAGACGAAAAAGTAAATTAAAGTACAAATGAGACACGGAGGAGGTCAATTCTCTTCTGTTTAAACGTCTGTGAAGTTTCTCAATATTTCTGCAAATGTTTGGCCTGTTTTCTTCAATTTTTCCTTGTTTTACTATATATATATATGTATAGAGAGAGAGGGAGAGTAAAACAAGAAAATACATATATATATATATATGGTTATTAAATGTGTTAACCTCCAGCTCCAG